ACAAAAAACAAAGTCCAGAAAACAAAAAACAACACACCCAGGGTGGGCGGAGGGGGCACTAAGGCAAGGAGGGCCAGGAACAAAAAACAGAGTCCAGAAAACAAAAAACAACCCACCCAGAGTGGGCGATGGAGGAAACAGGCCAGGAGGGCAAAAACAAAGTCCAGAACAGAAAACAATCCACTTACGGTGGATGAAAACAAAAGAAAACCCCAAACATATCTTGGGTAACATCTCAGGTAGCCGGTCATGGGACCGGCAGCGGGACTGAGTCTCAGGTGGCCGGCCGAGGGACCGGCAGCGAGACAGAGTCTCAGGTGGCCGGCCGAGGGACCGGCAGCAGGGCAGAGTCTCAGGTGGCCGGCCGAGGGACCGGCAGCGGGGCAGAGTCTCAGGTAGCCGGCCGAGGGACCGGCAGCGGGTCAGAGTCTCAGGTGGCCGGGCGAGGTACTGGCAGCAGGACACAGTCTTAGGTGGCCTATCGTGGAGCCGGCAGCGGAGGCGTAGTAGCTGCTCAGGAGGTCGACCGTTGAGACGGAGGCGAGGCAGATGCTCAGGAGGCTGACCGCAGGGCTGGAGACGAAGCAGCGTCTTGGGAAGACCACTGCCGGGCCGGAGGCATGGCTGAGGTTCTGGAGGCCGGCCTAGGATCCGGCAATGGAGTAGAGTCTTATGTGGTCGACTGCGGGATCGGAGGCGAAGCCGACGCTCTGGGGGTCTGCCGCGGGGCCGGAGGCGAAGCCGACGCTCCGGGGTCCTGCTGCGGGGCCGGAGGCGAAGCTGACGCTCTGAGGGTCTGCCGCGGGGTCGGCGGTGAAGATGACGCTCCGGGGGTCTGCCGCGGGGCCAAAGGCGAAGCCGACGCTCCGGGGGTCTGCTGCGGGGCCGGAGGCGAAGCTGATGCTCTGGGGGTCTGCCGCGGGGCCGGAGGCGAAGCTGATGCTCCGGGGGTCTGCCGCGGGGCCGGAGGCGAAGCTGACACTCTGGGGTCCGGCCGCGGGGCCGGAGGCGAAGCAGCTTCTCAGGAGGATGACGCCCAAGCTTCAGCAGGTACCCCCACGGGGTACCCCGTCCCCTCCTCGACAGCTCAGGACCAGGCTCAGTAGAGACCGCCGACTGCGGCTCTGGAGGAGGCTCAGAGGAGACCGCCGACTGCGGCTCTGGAACAGGGTCTGGAACAGGAGAGCCCGCCGATTGCGGCTCTGGGTCTGGAACAGGAGAGACCACTGACAGTGGCTCCACCTCAGGAACATGTGAAACCACCGACTGTGGATCCGCCTCAGGAACTGGGGAGGCCACCGACTGTGGCTCCACCTCAGGAACATGCGAAACCACTGACTGTGGTTCCACCTCTGGAACTGGGGGGACCACCGACTGTGGTTCCGCCTCAGGAGCAGGTGACACCACCGACTGTGGTTCCACCTCTGGAACTGGGGGGACCACCGATTGTATTTTCACCTCTGGAACTGGAGGGACCACCGACTATGGTTCCACCTCTGGAACTGGAGGGACCACCGACATTGGCTCCGTCTCAGGAACAGGAGAAAACACCCATGGGGGCTCAAGTTCAGTCTCTGAGGTGGCTTGAGGCATCTGCAGAGGGCTCTTGGCGGTTAGTGGCCTCTGCTGAGGGGCTCTTGGAGGCATGTCATCACCAACTCTAATTTCCGAAGCCCTCTTAATTTTAAGCTCAGGGGTCTCAGGATGGCACAGGGCAGGCTCAGGGGTCTCTGGACGGCACAGAGCTGACTCAGGGGTCTCTAGACGGCACAGAGCTGACCCAGGGGTCTCTGGACGCCACAGAGCTGACTTAAGGCGACGCTTCTTCTTACGCCAAGGGGTCTTTGGAGCTAGGCTAACGGGTTTACTGAAAGAATCAGGCGACAAATTAACTAAGAGTTCCAGAATGCATAATAGAATCAGGGGCTAAAGAATCAGGCACGGGGTTAGGTTTAAAACTATCTGGATAATTAACTGGTTCAGGATCAGGATCTGGCTGGCGTGGAGCTGAGGGTGGTGGCTCGAAAGGGAGGATATCCTCTCTATCCCCATAAAAATGATGCCAAAGATCAGT